CATTCAACTGAAGATGACAGAAGCTCTGTCGAAACATGTCTTGCAAACTTAAAAAATTGGTCGTTTTCCTTAAAATATTTACATGTCTGCTGCTATCTATTTTTCTAATTTATAAATTGAACTTGGTTTTGCACTCTAACAAAGCTCTTGTTACTATCTATGGCACATAGAAATGTAAAAGGAAAATTTGTCAGAAATAGTTAATTTGGAGATAATTACACACAAGGAAAAGTTGCACATCTAGGTTACAGTTACCGATTCTCTTTCATTCAGTATTGGTTTGGGACACGATGGAGATAACAACTGTTCGAACGGAGTAAACATCATGTCTACTGCTGTACCTGGAGGATCAGGAGCATTGAAATGGTCATCATGCAGCCGAGATGTACTTCAGGGATTCCTCAGGTTTGTTATGATATAGACGTTATCAGAAGAACTCTGTTATCATTAAAAATGCCAGCTTTTGAAACATTTCTTTTTGCAGTTATGCATTATACCAGGAAATCAAAAATTCCGCTTTTTTATAATTTATTTGAGTCAATGTTCAGATAGAGAGAAGCTCAGTTTCTTAAAGGGGCACTTTTAAGAGCACGAATTCAAAAGGCCAAAGTGTGAAAGACATATTTTCAGTGATGGGCCGCATCTAACTAATGCAATAGCCTATAGTATTGTCAAAAATCATTAATGTGCAGTTGGACCCCGCAAATTCGAACTCGGTTATTTCGAATTTCCCGTTATTTCGAACTCAAAATTATTTCCGTTGGATTTACCCTTCAGTCGTTTACTGTTGGTTATTTGGAACTCCCGCAATTTCACTGCATTAATTTTGGCGCCAAAATTTTGACTACAAACTGGAAGTATCTTCGCTCGTACACGTACGTTGAAAGCCAAGATGAATTATGGGAAGGAAAGCAAACTGAGATTACTTTTAAGTGATATTTCCAATAAAACACAGCGGATTATTTTTGAAAAAGTCTGCCGGACTTTCTCTCAATTGGACATCACAACTTCAGTTGTCAATTTGTAACCCATTCTATC